ACTACAGTACTCATGTATATCACTACAGTACTCTCATGCATATCACTACAGTACTCATGTATATCACTACAGTACTCATGTATATCACTACAGTACTCATGTATATCACTACAGTACTCTCAGGTATATCACTACAGTACTCTCAGGTATATCACTACAGTGCTCAGGTATATCACTACAGTACTCATGTATATCACTACAGTACTCTCATGCATATCACTACAGTACTCATGTATATCACTACAGTACTCATGTATATCACTACAGTACTCAGGTATATCACTACAGTACTCTCATGCATATCACTACAGTACTCATGTATATCACTACAGTACTCTCATGCATATCACTACAGTACTCTCATGTACATCACAGTACTCTCATGTATATCACAGTACTCTCATGCATATCACAGTACTCCCATGTATATCACAGTACTCTCATGTATATCACAGTACTCTCATGTATATCACAGTACTCTCATGCATATCACAGTACTCTCAGGTATATCACAGTACTCTCATGTATATCACAGTACTCCCATGTATATCACAGTACTCCCATGTATATCACAGTACTCTCATGTATATCACAGTACTCCCATGTATATCACAGTACTCTCATGTATATTACTACTGTACTCTCATGTATATTACTACAGTACTCAGGTATATCACTACAGTACTCAGGTATATCACTACAGTACTCATGTATATCACTACAGTACTCATGTATATCACTACAGTACTCAGGTATATTACTACAGTACTCTCATGTATATTACTACTGTACTCTCATGTATATTACTACAGTACTCTCATGTATATTACAACAGTACTCTCAGGTAAATATGTCAGCCTCCAGGTTTTTAACTCACCATCCAGGAAATCCCTCCGTTTCCTGCAGCTCCGTTAGACATCTTCCTTTGTGATCTTCAGTTTGTTTATGTGGCTCCAAAATGTCTTCAGTTGTAGCAAAAATCACACGTCCACCACCATTCCTACAGACTCACTTACTAAAACAGATGAAAACCTGTTTATCGTCCATAATCTTACTTGGAGAGAAGTTCTGGGAGTTGTTGGAGAGAAACGACGCTAGCTTCTGGCAGCTATTGTTAAAATCGACGTGCGGCGGCGTCGTAGGCCTAAACTTTCAACAAAGATGCTAACCGGGCTTTCTGCTAAAAAATTAATAAATACTGTACAAAACAAGCGCATTAATCACCTTTACGTTGTCAGAAGAATCTGATAGAAAATAAAATATTAGCTTAGGTGAAAGGCTACAATTGAAATGTTTCTTATTCAGAAACAAAAATTAATATTTGCTAGCAGCGCCCCGGCTCCGCCATCTGCAAGATGGACAGCGAATCTTGTCGTGAGCAAACCGACCAATCAGATGTCTTCTTTCTAAACGCGCCGGTATTTTAACCAATAGGAGCACTCGGCTTTTGGTGGCCTCTGCTCGTTCTTTCAACACAAGATGGCAGCAAATCCCCAACTGATTAAATAAAAATATATATGAAAAATATCCATCCATCCATCCATC